TTTATATTTTGTTGCTTTAATTATGGTTAAGATATAAATTAGTGACACCTATAATTTTTTTTTTCTGGAAATACTTTTAAATATATTTGAAACTCAGATTTTGTGATGATGTTAATTACTTTGATATTTTCCAGAATTTGAATACTAAATGTTTATGAAAAATACGAGTCAATACAATTGGTATCAGAGTCATAGTTTGAGCGAATTAGGTGGACTGTCCCCACCTAGGCTTAAACTATGTGAGATAAAGAAAGAATCATAGTGTTTTAGGATCATTACCTTGAGTATTGATATGACTCATATTTGCTAGAATTACATGAATTAGTATCTTCATGGACTTGCTAAAGCCTCTTGTTCCTGTCGGAATCCAATGTATAATTGAGACATTTCGTTTGTTAGTGCAATCAGATTGAACGTTTGAAGAAGACAAATTGCAAAGATAGAATTGAAAGAGGTAAGGTAAGTGTTGAAAGTTTGGGAGAAGTAAGAAAAACATTGAATATTTGAGAATGTTAAGAAAAAAAAATATAGTCGTGGTGTTTATTTTGATAAAAAAAAGTTAGTAAAAAATGAATTTAGGGTAAAAAATACTAGTTTTTTGACGAAGGAAAAGGAGACAAACATTGTTAGAGAAAGTCAAATTAAGAACATTGAGTGTGGGCAACAAGGTGTAACACCAAATTGTGTCACCTCACATGTCACATAAGCAAAATGGTGTTATAACACAAAGTGGGAAAATTGGCAACAAGATTCAACACCAATATTTTGAAAATAAATATGTTTTCTTTTTTAATTTTTTTCGAGATTGAGTTTATTTTTTAACTTTTTTGTTTTTTTTTTCCTTTTTGCATTTTTTAATCACTAACATAAATATATATTTTATAAAACATAAAATTTTAAAAACAAGAAAAATACATAATATTTGAAATCTAAAATTACGATTACAATTAAAAAAACATAATTTGAAACTTAAAATCATAACTAAATACCATTCAAATTACTAATAAAACCACATAACAATCCTAATTAACCCAAATATTTCTTCATAATTTGTTCCTTCATCGATTGTAGCACTGCTAGATCAGCATGCGCCAAACCCTCCTTGCTCGTCCGAAGAATTGACAACTGATGTGTCATTAGTTCCCTCTCTTTTTGCTCCTGCTTCTCCCGTGTCTGCCTTTCCAGGAACTCCAAATAACGATGTTTCAACTATTTTTTTTTTCTTTTATTAATAAATTATGCTCGTCCAATTTCGCTCTCATTTCCGCCGCCTCTTTTGCTCTCGTCTCCACCTCATCCGCATGTCTTGCAGCACGCCTCGCTTTGTCGCGTCCAAGCGGACGTCGTGGTAGGGATATCTCTTGGATATCATCCGGGATCTCATCGTCGACGGCGTTAAGGTCGATGTGAGTCCGTACATTCGACACGTCGACCAAGCTAGAATTGCGAGAACTTTTGGGTGTTTTATTCCACCTTGGATTCGCTTGTAATAGCTCTCATGATTTTTCAAAGTCAAAAACATGTCCCATTTCTACCCGATATTGTTCATTCGCAGATTTGAACAAATCAAAGTCGTTGGTTCTGCTTTGCTGTTGCGCCTGAAGCCGATTGTAAATACCATTGAATTTGATGCCCCGCTTAGTTATTTGACCCCATGTGCTGCTCAACATGTCGTTGCGATACAGATTTTTCTTTAAAATAGCGTGAAACTTGTCGAGCACTGCCCCCCAATAAGCTCCTTTTTTCATTCCATTTCCGCGAAGTTCATCTTTTGAAGTAGCACGAAGCCGCTGTCAAAGCATATTCCTCATCTGAAATCCACCATTGTGGAACGTCTGCACTTTCTGTTTCAACCGCTATCGATTTCACCAAGCCGCTGTCAAAGCATATTCTTCATCTGGTGTCCACCATTATGGAACATCTGCACTTTCTGTTTCAACCGCTATCGATTTCCCTTTCGATTTTCCTTTGCTTTTCCCTCTTCTACTACCTCCCGCTTCCACTTCAACCGATTGTTGTGTTGTAGGCGATGGTTGGTTGGTTGTTTGTTGCATCGAAACAAAACTAGGGAGAAAATTTTGTTGTAAATTTGGGTTTTGACCAAATAAATTTTGTTGAAAGTAAGGTGAATTGGGAAACTGTAGTGACGGTGAAGCGGGATTGAAAGCGGCGCCTTGATATGAGATTTGTGGTAAGCCTTCAGACGATAAAAGGTTGAAATAACCTTCATAACCCGCAAATCCGAAAGACGAGGTTGTGTTTGAGTTTGATGATAGGGAGGTGTTTGGGTTTTACTCTATTTTTTGAGTAACAAAGTTTATAAAAGTATATATAGAATGTTAAAAAAAGATGTAAAGTTTGAAATAAAATGAGTATATGTATATATATAGGTAAAATGGTCATTTTTTTTTTTGTTTGAACGTAGACTGTTTGCAAACGGTCATAAGAGCCCAACAGTAATTTTTTCCCGTTTCACTTCATTTCGATGGCCACGATAATTGAAGGACGAGATGCAACAAGTTGGGGGAGGGGGGGTTGTTCACCCGTTAAGACGGCGTTGCGCCCCGCCATGTCACCCGCGTCGTTTCTCGTTTTGGCGCATACCGATCGCTCTAAGATGTTGAGTCAACATGCCGAGTTAACAAGATGGTGTTTGCCGAAAAAAGACTACCAATTCGCTTCCTCAGGCCAAATGGAGAGTGAATCATAAAAAACGAAAAGAAAATAACTTCAAAAAATTTCAATACAAGAAATGTTGAATGCATCACATGGAAAGGTTATATGATGGGACGTTACTGAAAAAGCTTGAGATTAGTTTGGTCCATTGAACGGGTTTTAGGGCTTTAAATTAAAGAGTAAAATAAAATTCTAAATAGTGTCAAGAAATTTCAATTCGGCAGAACCTATCAAAAATAGATACTATATCATATCTATATAAAGGATCAATTTTGTAACATTAAAAAATGAAATGTAGTAACATAATTTCTAGTCAACCTAACCTAGCATACAAAAAGAAAAAAATATCAAATGGGTTTTATCACATATTCAGAATAGGTGGTTGCTAATCCAAAAAAAGATATATGTAATAATTGTTATGGCACCTGAAATTAGTTGGAGATCCATTACCACCAAGCTCATATGCATCTAATCATGGCTAAGGAAATACATCATTTTTGTCATCTTTCTTGAATAATAAAATAGGTGAGGAAAAAATCATTTTATATAGAAAAAAATCTATTATTTTGATAAAGTTTTAAAAATTTTTTTAACAAAAAAGTCATGATTATTTAATATTTTGGCCACAAGTTATTTTTTTATTCTAAGAAAAAATAATAGATTATATGATTTTTCCAAAATAATAAGATTTTTCTGTTTATTATTTTTTTTTTTTAAACTTATCAATTTTTTTTTCTAAAATAACGAGACTTTTATATATAAAATCAAAGAAAAAACCTTGAAATTGTCCTTAAGAGGGATAGGTGTGGGCAACGCCCATACGAGTTACAAGGCAAAGAACACAAAAAAAGCACCGTTACCAAATGTGATGGTGGTAACATGGAAGTAACGCAAAAGCCTTTAACATGTAATAACGAGAGGAAGGAACGGTGTTCACTGGCGTTATCACGTGTTATGATGCATAATAACGGGAGTGGGCGTTGCCCACTCGTCCACTCCGAGTAGTCTAAAGAAACACAAGTAAAGTCCTATAAATGGTAAATTGTTTGTGAATCACACACATCTAAACTATGAAATGTGTCGAAGAAATACAAAAACAAGAAATAAATGAAAAGGAGTCAGAGTATCTTCTTTCCAGATGAGCATAATCATGTCATTAAAGAAAGAACATGCAAATTACTACCAGAACATGGTTGCCTCTATCAATCCATATTCATTTCACCGGGCCCACTATTAACTTGTCTAATAGTTCCCATGTAATCAAAGATATTATATACCTCAAATGTATACGAAGTAAACATGTACATACAAATGTTTATATTTTAACATTATTACTATTGCTTTCAAGGGTAAAAAAGTCACTATAAACTTGTCTAATACTTCCCACGTACACTTTTTAACAAGTATGAACCCTATCCACAACGATACTTAAACTTGTCATCAATATACTTGGCCCCATTAACAAACAAACTATGTGTTTTAAAGTATGTTTTCACTTTTCTTAACTTGATTAAAGTCCCTTTCCCCTTGAGTCGCATTTCCCATCGATCTTCACATTGTAAAATGAAGTTAGAAAGACAAGCCGACCTAAATTACAGGTCTTAAAAAGCCTATTTAGCACGATTATTTTTAAAATGTAGAATAAACAATACTTGACCTAACCTCAAGAAATAAATAATGTGCTGAATCTTTACTTTATGTTTTACATAGATCGTTTACTAAACAATTCAAACCCCTTTTTGGATCTACCCCATTTACTCGTCTTCAATTGCACCAGGTGTGTGTGAGAGAGAGATCTGACCTTGATTCTTTCTTGTTGTACAATGAAAACAAGATTTCCAGATAGAGTTGTACCTTCAGCTATTGAGGTTGTACTCCAATGATCTAATTATACTATTATAGGTATGCGATGTCAAGAAACTGTTGAGTTCTTCAGGTTTGATTCGTTTAAAACAGTGAAAAGCAAGGCGTGTTGTACTTCTGACAGAAAAAGGCCCACAATGATGCGTTCTTCACATGTATGTTATTATCCCATTTCTTCATGTTCATCATGCTGAATCAGGTTTCGATCGTAAAAAAAAACTTTTATTCTTTTTTAAACTTGTGTCAGCATAATTTTTTGCATTCTAGAATCCAAGTTTCGTTCTTGATCTTCATTTCTGATCAAAACTTTGTTCTTCTGAAGTTTGACCACCTTCAAACGTGAGAAGAAGAGCTCGATTCCTTGAATGTGATCGTGATTTCTCAACAGCTGAAGGTATTTTTGTTTCGTGTTTCGCGAAACCCAGCGTGATTTTCGAGAAGCTGTTGTTTGAGGTTTGAAGATGAATGAAGAACAAGAATCAGAACCATTATCGAAGAAGGTTTCTAGAGGCTTTTCAGCCGTGAACCTCACAATCAAGATATCGACTTCAACGCATAACCCTAGAAAAGAAATCTCGATCAACGACATTGTTTCTGCTTCATCAATCTCATCGTCATCTTCATATAACTCTTCATCTTCTTCAGCTTTCGTTTCAGCCCTACAGTCTCCTTACATATCTCCCAGAGCCACCGGAGATGATCCATATCATCATCTAGAAAACAAAATAATCGCTAATCCATCCACCATTACTACATTTACTCAAACTTCTACTCCAGAATCCCATTGTGGGTCTCACTCCGATGACATGCCCAGCACTTCCGACGACTTTTCCGATTCCGCAAAGCTGAAAATCGTCGACTGTGTCCCTGTAACATGTCCCGATAATAATACTAATAATGCAACAGTACCTCGTATCTCATTCTCATTTCCAGTTACACGGATTCCTTTCGCAAAAAGGTCTTCTAGTGCCAAATTGAGGAGCTGTGATATTTACATCGGATATCATGGCGAAAACCCCAACCTGATTAGATTTTGCAAGTGGCTCAAATCAGAGCTTGAACTTCAGGGCATTGCTTGTTTTGTTGCAGACAGAGCAAAATACGAAGATTCTCAGAGCCACGAGATTGCTGACAGGGTTATTTGCTCTGTTACATTTGGAATTGTGGTCGTCACAAAGCATAGCCTTTTGAATCATCTCGCATCTGAAGAAATAAGGTATTTTGCTCAAAAGAAGAATCTAATCCCGGTGTTCTTCGACACCAATCTGAATGAAGTCACCAATGTTCTTGGTCGGAATTCAGATGGTAAAGATTGCAACGAAGCAATTGAATGGTTGATGAAATTCCATGAATTTAAACTAGAAGCAAATGAGGGGAATTGGAGACGTTGTGTATGTAGATCAGTTGGGATCTTAACAGGAAAGCTCGGGAGGAAGAGTACTGTTGCGGAAAAAGAAACTGAAAACAACGTCGATGAAATGCCATTTCCCAAGAACAGATGTTTCATTGGTAGAGAAGAGGAAATTGCAGAGATTGAAACCACTCTTTTTGGAGAAACTGAAATCGAAGTTGATGGAATTAGAGATGGGAAGTTAAAAGAGCCAAATTCAGATGTTACGATTGCACCATTGATTGGAAAACACTCGGTGAAAAGACCTAAACCTAAACACAAGAAAACAAAGAGCTTCAGAAGTAGCGTAGTGTGCATCAATGGCGAACCTGGAATGGGGAAAACAGAGGTGGCACTGGAATTTGCTCACAGATATTCACAGAGATACAAATTGGTTATATGGGTAGGTGGGGAATCTCAACATTTAAGCCAAAATCTACTGAATTTGTCTTTACATCTAGGGTTAGATGTAAGTGCAGATTCCGAGAAAGAAAGAGGGAGGATCAGAAGCTTTGATGAGCTAGAAACAGAAGCCTTCAAGAGGGTAAAACGGGAATTGTTTCGCGATATCCCGTATTTGTTAATCATCGATAATCTCGAAACAGAAAAAGATTTACACAATCTGATACAAGGAAACACCGGTTCTTCCCATGTGATTATAACAACAAGACTTGAAAAAGTAATGAAATTTGAACCAATGCAACTTCAACCATTGCCATTATCCGATGCAATGATGTTAATAAAAGGAAGACGAACGAAAGAATACCCTTTTCAAGACGATGAAATTCTGAGGAAATTTGATGAGAAATTGGGGAGGTCAAGTTTTGGGTTATCCGTGATTGGTTCTTTGCTATCTGAAATTACCATTTCGCCCTTCGCCCTCTTTCAAGCCATCGACCAGATCCCTAAGGAAGCTACATCTCATTTTGACGAACCATTTTGGGGAAACAATCAGTTTCTTCTCAAAGTTTTAATATTTTGCGTTACAATTTTGCAAGAAGCTAAAGGAATTAAAAACCATCTTGCCTTAAGGATGCTTTTAACAGGAGCTTGGTTTTCCCCTTCACCCATCTCACCAAATTTACTAGCTGTTGCTTCAACTCACATGACTCCATGCACAAAAAACCGATTCAAGAAATGGGTCAATTCTGGTAATTTCACTCTTTTTTGTTCTTCGGGTTTCATTAAGAGCTACACATGGAAAAAAGAAGAAGATTCAGCTCTTGTTTTAGTTAAATTAGGCCTTGTTAGAAGAAGCAACAATCAGTACTCTACTTCTTGTATCATGTTTCACCCCATAACTCGAGTTTTTGGTAAGAAAAAAGGGGGTTTACTAGCAGCTAAAGCAATGGTTTATAGTATAAGGAAGATAGGAAACCCAATGTTTAACTCAAACCACCTTTGGGCTTCTGTTTTCCTTGTATTCGGATTCAAAACCACACCACCCTTAGTCCAACTAAAGGCTCTTGACATGGTTTATTTTATTAAAAAGATAGCTCTCCCTTTAGCTTTATGTGCATTCACTACATTCTCTAGATGTGACTCGGCTTTAGAGCTATTGAAAGTGTGCACAAATGTTCTTGAAGAAGTTGAGAAATCATTCGAGTCTAAGATAGAGGATTGGTGTCGTGGATCGTTGTGTTGGAAGAAGAAAAAGAAGAGAAACATGAACATGAATATGACGATTGACGAGTATGTATGCCAAGATTTGACACTGTTGAAGGCGACATTGCTTGAAACGAGAGCTAAATTGTTGTTGAGAGGTGGACATTTTGATTATGGAGAAGAGCTTTGTAGGACATGTATCGGCATACGGACTGTGATGCTTGGCCATAATCATGCTCAAACTTTGGCTGCTCAGGAAACGTTGTCTAAATTAGTTAGAATGAGGAGTAAAATGTAAAATATGAATGTAGATCAACTTTTGTACATTGGTCGGTAGTTCAGTATTTCCTACATGTAATCAGGGCCGGGCCAAGACGATTGGAGGTCCGGGGCAAAATAAAAAATGAGGCCCGTTCGAAAATTTTATGTATTCATATATTACACTACTTTATACATACATAACAATACATTTAACTTCCTACACAATAGAATGGGGAAAACTAAAAATACAATGCTATTAGAAGTACAAAAATACTAAAGTCTCATCCCCTTTGTTTCTTCATTAACTTGTTCAGCTTTGTTCATGTACATAAGTTGTTGATCTCCAACTGAAGTAGATTTATCATCGACAAAAAGTTATTAGGTGAATTGCTTAAATCCATAATACTTGTTGTTGTTAATAACCTGGAAGTAGTTGAAAAAACTATTCAACAACAGAAAATTATATACATATCAAAACATAGAAATAGAAATAAAAAGGAGTACCATTCATAAATCAAAAATAAGAATATTAACATTACAAATCGAAATTAAGCAATAAAGTTCAAGAACTGTCTCTAATTCAAAAATATTAACATTTGATTATGTCTCTAACTTGAACAGCCTCATAAAAATAGAATTTCAAAAAATAATAAGAAATTTCAAGAGCGATAGAATATACAGAGATTCATAGTCATATTAGCAGAAATCAATTTCACCTCTAACAGTCGATTCTGAAAACCGAACCTTCAAATTTCTAGAAATTAAGAAAGAAATCCAATTTAAGGCAGTGACTAGAACTCTCGATTAAAACCTCTAGGCCAGATTCCTAAAATAAATCAAATAACCTTATTAACTTCCCATTGGTGCTATATCAGAAAAAGGAAATCGACAACAAGAAGGAAAACAATAGAGTTTCCTATTTTTCTGAAATCGTGAAAAGAACGAGACACAATCAGTCTTTCAATTCTAAAATAACATTCGATTCACTAACGGTTGTTGTGGACGAATTCAGAAAATCAGAAAAGAATGAAAGAAAACGATTAACTTGAAATCTTGAATAAGAAATAGAAGAATGATCTTTAACTCTTGTTATTGGAGAAGACGTCGTTTGGATTTTCCATGGCAATGTTTGGATTTTCTATAGAAATCTGACTGTTGAAGAGTTACGACGCCTTGGAATTAGGACTTGTGTCAGGTAAGTCTCGTTCTCTCCCACGCTCCATCTTTTGGATTAGTTCCTGATCAGAGTATTGGGGTTTGAAATAGTCTAATAGGCTAAAAAATAATGGGCTGTTAATATATAACCAAAATAACAAGTTAAAAATTAGGGCCATGTAGCATTTGGGGGCCCGGGGCGGTCGCCCAGCTTGCCCATGCCCACGGGCCGGCCCTGCATGTAATGTTAGAAAATTGACTTTTTATTTTTATTTTATTTTATTTTCGGACAAAAGAGAAAGCCACGATTTTAAAGCAAATCAATTGAATACTACCACAAAATAAATCAATAAGGGAACAACTAGCAATGAAAATAAATTGAGAAATCATATGTGTGACGTTAGACCATCTGCAATACTCACCACTAACCACTATATTATGAGTGTTGTTGGTATAGTTTCTTTTAACATGTTAGTATGAACAGGAAGATAGCAACAAAGTAATAGGAAGAAAAAGATACACAAACTAGGAACAAATAAAAACAAAGAAAAGAAAATTTAATGCTTTATTCTTAAACTGATAAAAAAAAAAAAAACAAATACAACTATTTATTGGAAAAACAAAAACGTAACCGTGACCTAATACTTATATTCCTAGACTTGTTGACCAAGTAAAACTTCCTAATTAGACTTATCTACAAACCTTCCTTATACCATGTACTTTCTATACATTTGAATTGCACCTGCATTTTCCTTTGTAATTCTCAGAAACTTTTATCTTTTCAACTCCAAGCAACTTTCTCATGCTTTCAAATTTGACTCTTCCCACTGACTTTGTCAAGATATCACCTCTTTGTTCATTTGTGCCAACATGTCTTACAACTACATTGCCTCTTTCAACACACTCATGAATAAAATGAAGACGAATGTCAATGTGCTTACTCATTCCATGGAACACTGGATTTTTCATAAAATCCAAAGTTGATTTGTTGTCCACCTATAGTACATTTGGGCTTGCTTTGTTCTTTGTTATCATCCCCAATAATCGATGGATCCATATCCCTTGACACGTTGCACTTGTTGCTGCTATGAACTCTACTTCACATGAAGATAATATAACACACTTCTGTTTTTGTAAATTCCAAGAGACACGGTTCTCATTTAGGTAGAATGTCATTTAAGTAGTACTTCGTATGTTGTTGTGATCTTTTGCTAAATGACTGTCGGTGTACCTGGTTACAACATTTTCCATTACATTCTTCTTGTACTTTAAGCCATAATCAGTAATTCCTTTGATATACCTTAGTATATGTTTTACATCTTGTTGATGTTACTTAGTTGGCCTCTCCATGAATCGGCTCATGATTCCTATTGAATGAGCTATATCCGGTCGAGTGTTTGTTAGGTACCGATGGCCTCTTACAATGCTTCGTATGAGGTAGGATCTCTAGGTTCACCTTCTTCATCTTTAGTTAACTATAACTTTGGTTCCATGGGATACTTACATGGATTGCAATCGAACATTCAAGCTTTCTTGAGTATTGTTATTGCATAGGTCGATTGTTTCAATGTAAGACCTTCATTGTGTTGGTGCACTTAGATGCATAAATAATAGGATAACTTCCCAAGGTCACTTATTTCAAACTCCTTACTCATTTGTTGTTTAAAAACTTTTTACTTCATTATTGTGAGCCCTGGTGATAATGAGATCTTCTACATAGACATTGACTATTAACACCTTTCCATCATTTTTCCATGTGTAGACAGAATACTCTAGTGGACATTGTTGGGATGCAAACTCAATCCCACATCAGTATAAAGAGAAACTATATGCTAGTATATAAGCCAATGGGTAATGTCATATATCATTAATTGGTTTTAGAAAATGTAATCTTATTGTTCTGTTATGTTGAGCATGGTTAAGCTAGTAGCGATCCTAGCAAATGGTATCAGAGCTACGCTTATAACCTAGATGATGTGGTCGGTGTAGGTGGCATAATCCCCATTAATTTCTAGTCCAGTGCAGTTGATCCTGAATCCTTGTATCGAAAGTCTTCCTGATGGCTGTGACAATAGTCAATTTCGGGTCAAGTCTAGGTAGAACGAAGTCATCAAGTCAAACCGGTCAACTCAATTAAACCTGGTACGTTAGGGTTTGTGTTATGTACATACTGTATAACTCACTATTTTAATGAGAAAACCTCACTTGGAAAAATTCGTGAGTTTAATTTTCCTTAGCCTTATTGCTAAACAACTCTCTATTCTAATAAGAGATCATAAATCAAAAAGTGCGAACATCTAGATCTCCTTAACCTAAAATTGTGGTACGTGGCGAGCCAAACCGATAAAACAATGTTGCATACTCATCGGGAGTGTGTAAGATCCTTAAAAAAGGCTTAACAGGGTTTACAGACCTTGCATTGCGAAGCTGGGCACTCACAAATACCACACACGAAACCTCTCTCAATCGTTTTCACTCTATCTCTCTCTATTTAGAATCTCTCTCAAATCTCTCTTTGTATGAGAAATCTCTCCAAGAATGTGAAATCTCTCCTAAATCTCTCTTTGTATGAGAAATCTCTCCAAGAATGTGAAATCTCTCCCAAATCTCTCTTTGTATGAGAAATCTCTCCAAGAATGTGAAATCTCTCTCAAATCTTTCTTTGTATGAGAAATCTCTCCAAGAATGTGAAATCTCTCCCAAATCTCTCTCAAAAGTTTCCGTAACTTTTTGGAGTCATTCGGGTCATTCCGACCCTTAACCGGGTCAAAAACGGCTTAAAACGGGGTAAAAGCTAGAAAAACGGACTTGAAGAGCCGAAACTCCTCCCAGGAACCGAAACCTTAAGGAGCCGAAGCCTAAGGAACCGAAACCTTATGTAGCCGAGACCCCAGCTGATAGCCGAAACCGAGACCGGAAGCCTCTCGAACCGAAACAGGGAAGGGCGAAGTCTCTCGGGCCGAACCCCACTCTCGATCTCTCCTCCTCTCGGTCTCTGCTCCTTCCGCCTCTCAGTCTCTGCTCCTTCCGCCTCTCGGTCTTCTCCCCGCCTCTCGGTTCTTTCTGCACTCTCGGTCTTTCCCTTCTCCTCTCGGTCCTCTCTCTTCTCCTCTTGGTTCCTTGCCCTCTCTCGGTCTTCTTTCCTTCTCTCGGTTCCAACACCAGAGGACCGAACCTCCGGCCAGAAATTCGGATTTTTGACGCTTTTCACCCATTTTTGATATTTTTAGCATTTTGAGCCCGTTTTTCGTGATTTTAACGCGGGATTTTCTCCAGAAATTATATTTTTATATAAAAGACACTAAATATTCATAATTGAATCATATTCTCATGAAAATCCTTATTTAAATAATAAAAGCTAGTGGGTAAAGTACAAAGAGGTGGAGTGTTGACTTTGCTTTACCTTATGACGCAAGCAACCACTTCCACACCCACTCTATGACCAGTCACACCTCCCCACCTTACCTAGGTCACATCAATGTCCTTTCCACTCAATTAAAATCGTTTCCCACGTTTTTGAGAGCTGGACATTCATCCTCTCTCCTCACTTCTCTCATTTGCCCTCATTTCACCAATGATCGAACTCCACTTTTCTCTCAAACTTTCTCTACCAAATTCGAGATTCAAGGCTGATTATCAAGTGTTCTTCCACTCTTGGTAAGTATAATTAATCCTCCTTGTGATTATTGCACTTCATTCTACTCAAATCATTGATTGCTTACACAAACTCCATAACTATGATGTTAGATTCTCGAAAATCTTCAAGGCATCTCCAAGTGTTCTTGAGTTAAACACTTCCATTCTTCAACAATCATCTACTGAAATCACTTAAGGTGACTTCATACCCCTACATTTTAAGGTTTTCTCAAGTTTTTAAGGGGG